AATGGTTTTGAGTGATGAATACTTGAGACGCAGGCGATCAATGTCTCGTAGTAGGTGGCTACAGACAAGAGAAGCATGAGCAGTGTGTGCAAAATAGTCTGACAATAAAGAGTGGACCTTGGGCCTGCATTGGGCCACCGATAAGGCCCGAGTAACCGTGGGCTGATCCGGGTCCAATAGATGCTCTGCGAACAAACGGTAAGAGGGGAGACGCGCCGAAGTGGTGGAGTCTCTTGACAAACAAGAAGTTGATTCATTCTTGGAGTAGGCAAGGACACGTGTCCAAAACTCAGTGTATGATTCCGTACGAAACGCGTTGGCATATTCCTCACGCACGTCCAAACAGGTTTGGTGGTTTGTAGAAGTGCTGCATTCTGTTGCATCTCATTGTTCTCTATACATCAGATCACTAAATACAAACTTGTATTTATATATAAGGAATGATGGTTTTTTATAATAGTAAATATATATTATATAAATTTTTAAGTTAAGAAATATATATTATATTTAAAGAGACTTAGAGATTAAAAAATAAATAATAGATATTTTTAAGAATATAAAAGTTATTTAGATGATGTAAGAAAAATGTATAGAATAAACGATTTAAAAATATAAAGGATAAATTATTTTTAAAAGGTTGGGAAGATTAATCTAAAAATATAACAGTTAGATTTAGAAAAAAATAGACTTTCTAAAATAAAAAAGATAGATGATTTAGAAAAAATGTATAATAAATCCTCTAAAAATATTAAGTATAAGCGATTAAAATAAATATAGACTCTTTAAAAAATTTAGACTAAAAATACAATTATTAAATAATGTAAAAAATGTGATAGAACTAAGAATATAAATAATATATAAATGATAGATGATAAATGATAAATATTTTTTTAGTTCCTAAATTAAATAAAAGGTTATTTTCTATCCTAAATTAAATATATATTTATTCCAAATATCTTATTCCTTAGACATATTATAATTCGTTGTGAAACTTTATTTTTGACAAGATAATACAAATGAGATTTTATATAAATTTTATAAAATATATTATAAAATACAAAGATGAATTATACATATATTTAGTTTAACCATGAAAACTTCAAATAATTTAGATAAAAAAAATATTTTATCCTATTATTAATTTAATCTATAGGTATAAAATAAGGAAGCTAATATTCGTCTTTCTTAATTTTCAACATCTTAGACACTATCTCTGGATAAACATAAGGAATTCGTTTTGATATATTCTAATTGGATTTTGTCAGGGAAATCACGATAACTAGTAAATTTGCTTAAGCTTCATAACAAGATTGAAGATGTAATTTTCAGTATCATTTTTGTTTGCAGAGAAACTTTGTTTATCTTCATCAAATTTTCTGATGGTGATTATAACACCTGTAGGCCAAACTAACGAAGAAAAGGGGAAAAGAAATGCAGAAAGAGAGGGAAAAAGAAGAACATGATGACCTGAATACGAAAGCAACTTTTTGATACGGCGAACCAATTTGATCTTCATTCCTTAATGTGATAGACACTGCAAATCAAAAGAAGGATCCGAGAGAAAAATCAGAATTGGATGTTAACCTTCCTGAGAACCTAAATGGGATGAGGCTTTGGCACTAGAGATCTTCAAGAAAATTGATGGTACTGTTATTTGTGAGAGATGAAATTTTGGTTTTCTTTTAATAATGCAAAACGCAGCCATTTTTCTGGTCTTGCTTGTAAGAAAGAGCTATGAAAATAAGGCAATATAGTGATATCTTGTAGTGTACGCGAAGGGTACTTACTGATATCTGGATTTGGCGTGATGGAACGAAGGGAGTTCTAGAATTGTTTTCTGTTACCTCAAAGCCAACTAATTGCTTCTGAGTAAAATCAGAAATGCTACTTTATTGTTTTTGTTTCAAACAGAGGAAATACGAAAAAGAAAATCATTCCAAGTTAGTAAAACTGATCTTTTTCTTTTCATTTTATTTTGGTTTATTAAAAAAATAGGTATTTTACAATATAAAAAGTAAAAAATAATACATAAGAATACTTGCAAGAATAACAACTTTAACATAATAATCTAATAAAAACAAGGATAATGATACTTTGAGAACATTTTTTGACAACATTTTAACATTATCTACGCGTCATATTATGTGATTGGTCTATGTTGGTGTTTATGATTATTATTATTGATTATGGAATAATCTTGGACCAATTACAAAATGACACATAGATGATGTTAAAATGTTGTCAAAATATCATTATCCTAAAAACAATCAAAAGCTTTATGGAGGTAAATGGTTTGATTATTATTTGGAACGTCCAACAAACACAAATCTTATTAGCATAAGCTTTTAACTCATAGTTCTGACTTCTTTTCTGTCATCAGTCTGTTTGTCCTGTTGATATATACTAACAATGTCAATATGCATTTATCTATTGATAAGTTAGATGACACTAATTATGCGACTTTGACTTTAGACGTTAAACTTTGGCTTAAGAGTTTTGGGTATGTTGATCATATTACTCAGAACGTGACAACTATTGATTTTGTTGTGGTTATTCGTTGGTTGAAAATTGATGCTCAATTAAGCATTGTTCTGAAGGCTACCCTTCACTCTTTTTTAAAACAAATTTGTCATCTCGACAAAATATGTTTTGAAATCTTGGAACACGCTAAATTATTATACACCAATAATACTCAACGTCTTGATGGAGTTTGTCATGATCTTTTCAAGGTTGTTGCTCCTCGACATCAGGATTCTATGGGTAAAATTCATGCTCTTTTCATGAATTTAATGAATTATTGCCTCTTGCCTCTACTCTTGCCCAAGAAATAAAGTAACGATCAAAGTTCTTCATGTTATTGGCGTTACACAACCTTGTTGATGAATACTCTCATATCTGTGATCAGATTTTGGGTTCATATGTAATTCTCACTTTGACTTCTTCTACTTGTTCCACTCTTTTATATGTATCTAGTAAGCCAATCTATGATACATCTGCTTTTTCTAGGTTGCATCTCAACGTCATGATCGCAATCACTCTCGCAAGCCGGGAAAAAGAAGTATGAAGTGTGATAATTGAGGCAAGCTAGGCCAAAAGATTGATAAGTGTTATGCATTACATGGTCGCCTTCATGGTCACCTTCCTAAATTTGTTGCTATTGTTCAGACTGCTCCTCCTTCACAATCACCTACTGAGGATCCTCCTTTATCCGATATTGTTCACACACACACACACGCACGCACGCACACACACACACACATTTGATTTTGATGGATTTTGAGAATGAAATTGTTATATTTCTAACATTTATTAAATTGTATGTTTGATTCTTTTATAAATTAGCTTACCTTGTTGTTTATTTATTTGTTTGATTTTTTTCTTTGGTAATGATCACCCAGTATGAACAACACTACCAAAAAGGAGGGCATTACTGACGGCTACAGTCCGTCGAAAACATCAAAAAGTTGTCGGTAACATTACCGACGGATCAGTGACAACCAATTTGTCGTCGGTAAATTGTTTGTCGTTAACCATTATCGACGGCCTTTGTCCTTCGGTAATTACCGAAGGGCAAAACCCTTATGTAATTACTGAAGAGTAGAAGCCTTCGGTAATTACCGAAGGGCTGAAGCCTTCGGTAGGTCCTTCAATAAGAACCAGAAAGAATTGAGTTATATTTGTATTTGTTATCCAACTACACAGACATGCATAACATGTTCACAATACAGACAAACTTAAATAACATTTTCAAACCACAAACAAACCTCTATAATATGTATCTCAAAATTATCTAATCATTAATGAAATAAACAACAATATAGTAACATCATTTGTATTGTTCAAATTTTAAAATTTGTATTTATAAACGAAACATGAAACATAAAACATAAAACAATATAGCCATATAGACCAATAATGTATATATTTGAAAAACATCAGCAAATATAATGTAACATAATCATAATGTTCCGAAATAATAAATTTATATATTTAGACGTAAATTTACTTTTATTAAAATTTCTGACATAAATTTATATATATTATATTTATAACCAACGTAAATTTAGGTTTATTACAAAAACAACCGATAAATTTTTTTATTCTGTTCAAGTTTACATATATTACTCTTGAGATATATGTAAATTTATGTTTATTATTTAACATATGTAAATTTACCTTTATTAGAAAATTTTGTATATTAACAGTAAAAACACATGAGTTACATACATGTTATTTTTTTATGATAATAAAAACAATAAAATTTATAAATATAAAATTAAATATAAATAATTTTTTATAATTTTATAATAAATAGCTTTATTTATTTTGTAGATATATTTTTAATTAAAAATATGAAATTTGAAAAATGATTAAATTTAAATAGATGATTACTTAGAAAAATAATATTGATAAAATAATAATTTTAATTTTAAAAAAATTTAAAAATAAATGTGAATAGAAAATATTATAAATAGGTATATATTATGTTATTAATATTTTCATATCATGAAACTAATATATATATTTATTATTCACAATATTTAATTATTTCAATATTAAGTTTTATCTAAAGTATTAAACTAAATTAATCAATATTAATTAACGAATTAACAGATTTTTACTATTAATATAATTATGAATTTATTTGTGTAATTTATACCCATTTTTTTTATCATTTCAATGAATAATATTCAGGGTTTAGGTTAATTGATATTTATAATTCGAATAATATTAAAGTTTTTTAATGATAATTTTCAAGTAACAGGGCTACATTGCAAAAGCTTTTGGAAAGAGTCCAATACATATTCAGGCCCAAAATCCGTTACACGGACATTGCATACTCAATTCCCTGATGCCTATATATACTCTCACCAATCCCTAACCCCAACTCGTGCTTAGGGTTTACCAGCCGCGTCACTTCTCTTCCATGGTTGCAAAAGGATAGCATTGCAATCTCGTCCCTTAACGGTTCTGTTTTACGATTATTATTTTCATTGATGATTTTTTACTTTCTTAGGTATAAGATTGTTGTCGCATGAGGGTCTGGAGTTTGGCTCTTTGGCTTTTTAATCCGTGCCATAGAGATGAATGCAGCACCCAAAACTGAGTTCTTTCAACCTTTTCACTAATATTCGCTTCTATGTTTGTTTAATCAGTATGCGGATCTTTTCGCTGAGGTTGATACATTTTTAATTTCGTCTGTGATGATTTTTGATCAAATTTCTTGCCCTTTGTTATTTATTACCATCTTTTTATTAAGAAATTGTGAAATTGATGATTCCGGGGAATCTGAAATTGTGGTTATTGAGTGGTAATTCAGGCAGCCTACTTGCCACGATAACAAATGGCATGAGAGGTGTTAAACTGCTCGTATATAAAATGCTTTTGCTCTTCAGACTTGCTGAAATTATTTTGAAGCTGGTCTAGTAAGCTTACGTACAGTCTTTATTATTACTTTCAAGATTCTCCTTTTGATTTCCTCTTGTTTTGTTTTTCTGGGTTTGAGTGGGTGCGGATTTATGTTTCCTTTGTCAACTGTGATAATTATTCTGCAAGAACTAGCACCTCCGGTGTTCAATGTTCGTCGACATGGAAAGTTAGGTCTCTGCCATTGCAAAATTTAAGGCTAAAAGTTAATTGATTTAATCAGTGTTTTAATTTAAAATTAAAATATTAATATCAGTAACTGATTAATATTCTTAGTAGGAAAAACAATTTAAGATTTTCATAAAGAGAGAAAGTTGGTTGGCTTCAATGTTTCTGGTGTTGCCTAAATTCTTGAGAGCTGTCACTTTAGGGGCAAGGCAAAGTGAAGAGAGTCTGACTTTATAACAGAATATTTTCTTAGAAATAATCTTTAACAATTATGTTTTCTATTATTGTTTATATGGATTGCTTGGTTTAATTTTTATACTAATTACAATTTAAATTTCAGTCGATAAAATTAATTTATTTGATAAATTTAATAAAGAAAGATTGAAATTTATATACAATTGTGTAGAGGACAAATAAATATAATTATGTCAAATTTACGTATCTCTACGTAGAGAACAAAATTTTCTTCAATTGAGCTTTACGTTGAGAATGGAGAATGTTTTGGGTCGACACAAGGGCTTTTTCACATTAGGGTTACAATGCCGAGTGGTGTGGATGCTCATAGATTCAAAGTTTTGGCTTCATATAATGTTCAAGATTTACAAAATCATTAGCTCATATTTACAGATGTAATTTTTTTCTAATCATTTTATCCAATCCATAAATAAAATATGAAATTTACATGTGAGGGATGCTTTTATTTCCATATTAATAGGACTAATACTATGTTTGGATAAATTCGTTCGAAATCCTCCCGTACAAATATTTTTTATGGACATTTATCACCTATATCCTTTAGTGTTACAGAAAAGTTGATACGAATAACAAATTTATGCATTGATGTGAATTTTTACAAAATATTTGCGTCTCTTAAAATTCAAACTATTTGTTTAATATTATTATGTTATTTATTTCATTATATTTTTAAAATATAGTTTGCATGAAAGTGAAAAAAAAAAATCCAAAAATTGTCTAATTTTTTTTAATTTTGTTTTTCGAAACTTTCTTTTTATTAAATTTAACTCCCTAAATTTCATAGTTGGAAGCACAAGGTACATATAGAATTGTATATTCTTTATATTGTAATTAATGATAATCAATTGTTTTTTAGTTACATAAAAATGATATAATATTAAAAGATCTCGAGTTTTAAATTTAGGTCGAAAATATGAATTATTAAAAATGACATAAAATCTTTAAATATTATTTTGTTTTTATTATTATTGATTTTGTTTAATGTGAAATTTACTTTTCTCGGATGTTCAATATTGTATTTAATTTGGTAAATTTTATTCAATTAATGTGTTTATGATTTTTTAAATTTTTAATTTTTTTTTCTTAAGTTATTTAAGTATAAAGATGATAATATTAATATTGAGTGTCAATATCAATAGGTTAATTGTTTCGTTCTAGTATCTTCCAAAAGGAAAANACATTTATTAAATTGTATGTTTGATTCTTTTATAAATTAGCTTACCTTGTTGTTTATTTATTTGTTTGATTTTTTTCTTTGGTAATGATCACCCAGTATGAACAACACTACCAAAAAGGAGGGCATTACTGACGGCTACAGTCCGTCGAAAACATCAAAAAGTTGTCGGTAACATTACCGACGGATCAGTGACAACCAATTTGTCGTCGGTAAATTGTTTGTCGTTAACCATTATCGACGGCCTTTGTCCTTCGGTAATTACCGAAGGGCAAAACCCTTATGTAATTACTGAAGAGTAGAAGCCTTCGGTAATTACCGAAGGGCTGAAGCCTTCGGTAGGTCCTTCAATAAGAACCAGAAAGAATTGAGTTATATTTGTATTTGTTATCCAACTACACAGACATGCATAACATGTTCACAATACAGACAAACTTAAATAACATTTTCAAACCACAAACAAACCTCTATAATATGTATCTCAAAATTATCTAATCATTAATGAAATAAACAACAATATAGTAACATCATTTGTATTGTTCAAATTTTAAAATTTGTATTTATAAACGAAACATGAAACATAAAACATAAAACAATATAGCCATATAGACCAATAATGTATATATTTGAAAAACATCAGCAAATATAATGTAACATAATCATAATGTTCCGAAATAATAAATTTATATATTTAGACGTAAATTTACTTTTATTAAAATTTCTGACATAAATTTATATATATTATATTTATAACCAACGTAAATTTAGGTTTATTACAAAAACAACCGATAAATTTTTTTATTCTGTTCAAGTTTACATATATTACTCTTGAGATATATGTAAATTTATGTTTATTATTTAACATATGTAAATTTACCTTTATTAGAAAATTTTGTATATTAACAGTAAAAACACATGAGTTACATACATGTTATTTTTTTATGATAATAAAAACAATAAAATTTATAAATATAAAATTAAATATAAATAATTTTTTATAATTTTATAATAAATAGCTTTATTTATTTTGTAGATATATTTTTAATTAAAAATATGAAATTTGAAAAATGATTAAATTTAAATAGATGATTACTTAGAAAAATAATATTGATAAAATAATAATTTTAATTTTAAAAAAATTTAAAAATAAATGTGAATAGAAAATATTATAAATAGGTATATATTATGTTATTAATATTTTCATATCATGAAACTAATATATATATTTATTATTCACAATATTTAATTATTTCAATATTAAGTTTTATCTAAAGTATTAAACTAAATTAATCAATATTAATTAACGAATTAACAGATTTTTACTATTAATATAATTATGAATTTATTTGTGTAATTTATACCCATTTTTTTTATCATTTCAATGAATAATATTCAGGGTTTAGGTTAATTGATATTTATAATTCGAATAATATTAAAGTTTTTTAATGATAATTTTCAAGTAACAGGGCTACATTGCAAAAGCTTTTGGAAAGAGTCCAATACATATTCAGGCCCAAAATCCGTTACACGGACATTGCATACTCAATTCCCTGATGCCTATATATACTCTCACCAATCCCTAACCCCAACTCGTGCTTAGGGTTTACCAGCCGCGTCACTTCTCTTCCATGGTTGCAAAAGGATAGCATTGCAATCTCGTCCCTTAACGGTTCTGTTTTACGATTATTATTTTCATTGATGATTTTTTACTTTCTTAGGTATAAGATTGTTGTCGCATGAGGGTCTGGAGTTTGGCTCTTTGGCTTTTTAATCCGTGCCATAGAGATGAATGCAGCACCCAAAACTGAGTTCTTTCAACCTTTTCACTAATATTCGCTTCTATGTTTGTTTAATCAGTATGCGGATCTTTTCGCTGAGGTTGATACATTTTTAATTTCGTCTGTGATGATTTTTGATCAAATTTCTTGCCCTTTGTTATTTATTACCATCTTTTTATTAAGAAATTGTGAAATTGATGATTCCGGGGAATCTGAAATTGTGGTTATTGAGTGGTAATTCAGGCAGCCTACTTGCCACGATAACAAATGGCATGAGAGGTGTTAAACTGCTCGTATATAAAATGCTTTTGCTCTTCAGACTTGCTGAAATTATTTTGAAGCTGGTCTAGTAAGCTTACGTACAGTCTTTATTATTACTTTCAAGATTCTCCTTTTGATTTCCTCTTGTTTTGTTTTTCTGGGTTTGAGTGGGTGCGGATTTATGTTTCCTTTGTCAACTGTGATAATTATTCTGCAAGAACTAGCACCTCCGGTGTTCAATGTTCGTCGACATGGAAAGTTAGGTCTCTGCCATTGCAAAATTTAAGGCTAAAAGTTAATTGATTTAATCAGTGTTTTAATTTAAAATTAAAATATTAATATCAGTAACTGATTAATATTCTTAGTAGGAAAAACAATTTAAGATTTTCATAAAGAGAGAAAGTTGGTTGGCTTCAATGTTTCTGGTGTTGCCTAAATTCTTGAGAGCTGTCACTTTAGGGGCAAGGCAAAGTGAAGAGAGTCTGACTTTATAACAGAATATTTTCTTAGAAATAATCTTTAACAATTATGTTTTCTATTATTGTTTATATGGATTGCTTGGTTTAATTTTTATACTAATTACAATTTAAATTTCAGTCGATAAAATTAATTTATTTGATAAATTTAATAAAGAAAGATTGAAATTTATATACAATTGTGTAGAGGACAAATAAATATAATTATGTCAAATTTACGTATCTCTACGTAGAGAACAAAATTTTCTTCAATTGAGCTTTACGTTGAGAATGGAGAATGTTTTGGGTCGACACAAGGGCTTTTTCACATTAGGGTTACAATGCCGAGTGGTGTGGATGCTCATAGATTCAAAGTTTTGGCTTCATATAATGTTCAAGATTTACAAAATCATTAGCTCATATTTACAGATGTAATTTTTTTCTAATCATTTTATCCAATCCATAAATAAAATATGAAATTTACATGTGAGGGATGCTTTTATTTCCATATTAATAGGACTAATACTATGTTTGGATAAATTCGTTCGAAATCCTCCCGTACAAATATTTTTTATGGACATTTATCACCTATATCCTTTAGTGTTACAGAAAAGTTGATACGAATAACAAATTTATGCATTGATGTGAATTTTTACAAAATATTTGCGTCTCTTAAAATTCAAACTATTTGTTTAATATTATTATGTTATTTATTTCATTATATTTTTAAAATATAGTTTGCATGAAAGTGAAAAAAAAAAATCCAAAAATTGTCTAATTTTTTTTAATTTTGTTTTTCGAAACTTTCTTTTTATTAAATTTAACTCCCTAAATTTCATAGTTGGAAGCACAAGGTACATATAGAATTGTATATTCTTTATATTGTAATTAATGATAATCAATTGTTTTTTAGTTACATAAAAATGATATAATATTAAAAGATCTCGAGTTTTAAATTTAGGTCGAAAATATGAATTATTAAAAATGACATAAAATCTTTAAATATTATTTTGTTTTTATTATTATTGATTTTGTTTAATGTGAAATTTACTTTTCTCGGATGTTCAATATTGTATTTAATTTGGTAAATTTTATTCAATTAATGTGTTTATGATTTTTTAAATTTTTAATTTTTTTTTCTTAAGTTATTTAAGTATAAAGATGATAATATTAATATTGAGTGTCAATATCAATAGGTTAATTGTTTCGTTCTAGTATCTTCCAAAAGGAAAAAAAAAAGATGAGAGTTTCCTCGATCTAAAATAAAGCATTTGGATTTTTCTAATAACTAAAAAGTATATCAGAGCTTCCGATGGTGGAGGAACTTGATAATAGGAAAAAGATTGATTTTAGTTATAAGATATCTAATGAATCCATTGCTTAAATTGAGATATCATTCAAAGTAAAAGATATAAAAAATATTTGGAGTAGCTTTTTCCACCATCCATAAGAGAAAATTGTAAATAAATAACATTCATATTCTTTTTAGTAGTAGAAAAATGTAAGATGTAAAATATATGATGTTAGATGTGGAAATTAATGTAAAATATATAAGGTTGTTGTAAATTATTTGCTTGTTTAATACCTAACAACTTAGTGGTATAGGATCAAACAATGCTTCTCTTTGATCATTAAAAGGTAGTTTAACAACCTTCTTAAAATTAAATGGTTTATATAAGTTAGTCAAACACTTGAGTTGCAAGATTGAAGTAATAAATACGCAATTATTTTATGCTAGTTCACTCCATTGAGCTATGTTCAGTTCTCCTCCAAAATCTCTTAGAGAGTTCAACTATAATCTTCAACAAGATTACAATTGAGTATTCGCACCGCTCCTAGTATCACTTAGTCAATCC